ATTCCACAATAACTTTAAAAATCAAGTCTAATCTACTAAACTTAACTTCTATAAGCATAAACTACACTTCTTATGCAATTTCCATAGATTTTTCTTCATTTTTCACCATGAATAGTGATTTTCAAATTTTTTTAATGGTACTCAAAATACATGGTGAAAATCCAAAATTTTTACATAGAAGTGAAGCTCTTACCTCAAGTAATCCAAATCTAGCAAATTTTTCTCAATTCCACCAAGAAATCTCCACAAAATAGCTTGACCTAGCCTCCAAAATTGTGAACTCGAGAGGTTGAAGGTGACGACAAGGGTAAAAATGGCAATTTTCGGGGTTATTTTTTACTTTTAACCGTTTGCAAACCCGTTTTCGTGAATCGGCGCTTAAGCACGGGTAAGTGGCGCTTTATCACCTGCCTCTCCATCGTGCATAAGAGCGAGAATGTGGCGCTTAGGCGCTAGTGCACTATTTTTTATATTTTCAAACTTAAGTAAAATGCACTATTAGCCTAAGTAAACCACCCCTAAATGGTCTCACAATACTTAAATGACTATTTTCCTCTCCTACAACTCTCCTCTCTCTCTAAATTCTCCCATATAACTCAATTCAATTCGAGACAAAAATAACACTAATTTTCACAAAAAACAAATATGTACATTCATTCACAAACTAGTACAAGTACATGTAACATTTAATTCTCACTCCAAATAGTCTCGGATGAGAAAATTTTCTAAATACAAACACTTAACAAACTTAAACAATTAAACACATAAAAGTCATAAACACTAAAAAACCACTAACACGTAAACACAACGACTTCTAACAAACAAACTCTAACACAAAACTTAATTTCATTCTTCATTTGTTGGGACAAACTCCGGTCTTTTATTTGTCTCTCCTTGGGCAATCGGAATATAAAGTTGATAAAACGGACGGTGGTGACGAGCTCTAATACTTTCTTCTTCAATCCATTTCTGTTTAAGATACATCTCCTTATCTGTTTCTTCTATATAACTAGTATGATTGAACTGTATTTTCAATTGCCATCCAATATGCTCTAGATGTGGATGAATCTAAATTTCCTTCGTTTCTAGTAAAGCAATGATAGTCTCAAGTTTGTTGATCTTTTCCGATATTCCTTCAATACTAACAGCTAAGAAACCGTTATTTTCACTTTTAACCGGTTGAAGGTGACGGCGAGGGTAAAAATGGCAATTTTTGGGGTTATTTTTCACTTTTAACAGTTCGCGAACTGATTTTTATGAACCTACACTTAAGCGCAGGTAAGTGGCGCTTAAGTTCCTCTCGGGTTACATCACGCTTAAGCTCGCGAATGTAGCGCTTAGGCTCCAGTGCACTATTTTTAAGATTTTCAAATTTAAGTAAAATGCACTATTAGCCTAAGTAAACTACTCCTAAATGGTCTCACAACACTTAAATGACTATTTTCCTCTCCTACAACTCTCCTCTCTCTCTAAATTCTCCCATATAACTCAATTCAATTCGAGATAAAAATAACACTAATTTTCATAAAAACAAACATATACATTCATTCACAAACTAGTACAAGTGCATATAACACTTAACTCTCACTCCAAATAATATCGGATGAGAAAATATTCTAATTACAAACACTAAATAAACTTCAACAATTAGACACATAAAAGTCATAAACATTAAAAACAAACACTAACACATAAACACAACGACTCCTAACAAACAAAGTCAAACACAGAACTTATTCCACTCTTCATTTGTTGGGACAAACTTCGGTCATTCATTATACCCTCTGTCGGCACTATTTTT